ATAGAAGATTCCTAAATTTATATCTATTGACATATTTTGCGTGACTAAGTTGGAAGGTGTGGGGTAATTTACCAAAACAAAATTGTTAAGCATATTATAAGATAAAATAATGATAATATTATTAGAGAGTTAATGTAACATAACTTTCTAGTAACAGTCCATTTTTTTAGAAATCACACATGAAATCAAGTCATGACTTTTCTTTTAATATATAAGATAAAATAATGATAATATTATTAGAGAGTTAATGTAACATAACTTTCTAGTAACAGTCCATTTTTTTAGAAATCACACATGAAATCAAGTCATGACTTCTGTTTTAATATATAAGATTGTAAAGAAATATCTCAAAGAGATTTAAGAACATAAACAAAGATAAGGTTCTATTTAAAAAAAATATCATTAGAACCAGATGAAGCGGAAACCTATTATCACATTTTCACAAAACAAAATTATATTTTTAATGCCAATAAAAAAAGTAAGAACAAAAAAAAACAGTTTCTTCTTCAAAAGCCTACCCACCTCCGAATAGATCTTGTTCCTTCTCCATTATGCTATACTCAGCCTAGCTCTCTATCTCTCTCTCACTCTATACATTTTTTCTCTCTTTCTCTCTCCCCATTCCAATTCATAGCACATAGACTCATTTAAGTACATTGCTTGTGTTGTATTTTTCAACCATTCGTCCTTTTCTTTTACTTCAGTAAAGGTACTCTCTTCTCTTACTCTAGACATTTAGACGCAATCATAGATTTTCTTGAACATAGACATTGTACTATTTGACTAAGACTACTACTGTAATTTCTTTCATTTTCTTGATTTTGCAGGCTAAGAAGAAAACTTTTCTTTCTATAGTTTTGATTGTCTTCGTCAAGGGAACAATAGTTTTTTTCTTTGATTTTTTTGCTTTCTCACATTTTCTTCTCTTTTTGGTGCGCGTGAAGAAGATTTTGGTACAAGTGTCGTTCTTTAAAAAAAAAAAAATTTAGGGTTTTTAAATTTAATTTGTAGCTTCAAAACCCCTCAAAAGATATGAACGACAACAAGACTTTCAGTACTACCACCACCATCAGTGAAGACTACATCTTATTTCCTTATAGTGACCATTATCCCTCACAATCATTACTCCCTTTTAGTCCTTGCTCTTCCATTAACGACATCTTGATTCACTTCAACTCCAACACACCAAACAATCATCATCATCAGTACCTACAAGCACCTTCTTCCTTTTCTCACTGCGAATCTGTCCCTGATTTTTCCCTCCTCGCCTCTTTCCTCCCACAAAACAATGACCATAATGATAACCAAACCAATGACCATCATCATCCTCCTTCACTTCTTCCCTTGAACAACCCTATTGGAGAATCTCATCTCATTGAGCCCTCAGAAACCATAACCACACACATGGAAGATTCCCAGAGAATCTCAACTTGTCAAGCCCCAAAAATGAAAAAAGTCAAGAAACCAATCAGAACGGACCGGCACAGCAAGATCAAAACGGCGAAAGGGACAAGAGACCGTAGGATGAGACTCTCGCTAGATGTCGCCAAAGAGTTGTTCGGCTTACAAGACATGCTTGGATTAGACAAAGCCAGCAAAGCCGTTGAATGGTTGCTCACACAAGCTAAACCCGAGATCATAAAGATCGCGAACAGCCTTTCTAACCAATTCAATCACGGCCGGTTCAGCAGCTTCGAGGAGTCTCAACCCCGTAATTATACATTATTTTCTAGTTTAAATTAAGTCTTACTAAAGTCTTGGTCTTCTTCATTCTTAATTTGACATTGTAACTTTCCAAATTCATCAAGGACCGGCATTAGGATTGATGGAAACATCTTCTGATCTATTTGAACTTACATCAATATGGACAGTCGAGGATAGAGGCAGCAACACTAACATGACCGGTATGTGCTTATAATCAATTATTCGGGAATTCTTCGTTTTTCTAATCGGATAAACCTAGGAAATGTAGTGCTGTACAATTATATAGTTTGAATCTTTTTTTCTGTCAAGAAGGTTTACAAATTATTAATTAACCTATCTGTTTGCATTAGTAACCAGAGAAAATGATGTGGATGGGAGATCGGTGAGAGGGAAGAGAAGGATGTTGCAACCTCGAACTCCCATTTTGAAGAAGTTGTCTAAGGACGCGAGAGCGAAAGCAAGAGAGAGAGCAAAGGGTAGGACAAAGGAGAAGATGATGAAGAGAATTGCACAAGTGAATGTTGTTGTAGAAGGAGAAGCTCATAAGCATCATCATGAGATAGTACTAAAGAATAATAAAAGCAATGTGAAGGCAACGCCCTGCGAAGAAAAGATCCAAGTACTTATTTGCAAGAACAATCGTTTTGCAGTTAACAACGAGTTTGTGGTGGATAAAAAAGATCACATTTTAGAACAATTCAATTCATCATTTCCAATGCTTGATCACCATCGCAGCCAATGGGCAGCTAGTTCCATAGAGGTACTTATATTCTATATCTAAGAGTTGAATTTATTAACTTCTTAAAGAGCTTTTTCTTGGTTTAATTTTGTAGGCTATCTCTGATCCCAATATACCAAGAACAATTAATTAATGTTATAAAAGTTGATTAGGAGTTTGGTTATTAATTTTACCATATATAGGCCCCGTTTTTCAGTTGACCAATTTTATGTATTTGCCAAATTAATTGTTTGGGTTATAAATCTTGCAGCAGCAGCAATTTGCGGATCTTCACTTGGGCAAACCAAGAGACCTCATGTACAACTACCATAGTATGTGCTGATACGATTTATATCGTTACTTTCTTGAGTTAATAATACTTTGTTGACAGATATGTGCGAATCTTAAGTTCATATGAAGGCCTCTTCGTCTTGAAGTCACATTAAATCGATGTAATATTTTTTTGAACTCAGCTTAAATCGATGTAATATAATTAATGGCTTTTGTATAATATTCTGTTTCTGTTGTGTCGAATGGAACCTTGACTGTGATTTGCGCTTTTAAACGTAATTTTATAAATATAATATATGCTTGTTGAGTTTGTCCGCTATCGTCTGTCTTTAGGAATACAAAAAATGATAAAATCACAAACAAAATTGTGAAATTTTGTAAGTTGGTAGTATTCATTATTTCGCTTTCACATTTGACAAAAATAACAAACTCGCTGTCACTGCTCTTCAATGACTCATGGACGTCAATTCTAATATAGTCGATTAAGCCACAATAAAGAACTTCAAACCCTTTCAAGGTTATTTACTTGCTTAGATAAGTTCTACGGCAAATTATAAAATGTTTGGCTTTTTAGTTTTACATTTGAACGATGGTTTATTAATTTTTTCCACGTGTTTTTTCTTTCTCAAAAGTAGCTAGGAAAAAGGATAAATTTCTAATAAGATTTGCATATGAATTGTTTTCACAAAATTTAAATTTTACAAGTATCAGTATTACTAATATAATTTTACTGTTAACGAAATATGATATTCGGTTTAAGAGTATTATGAAAACATAACATTTTCGAAAAACTTTTCTATGTAATATGAACCCCAAATCAAACAGTTTGTAACTAGCTTACCATCTTTTGTCATAAACTAAACTATATGTACAGAATATGTGGCTATTAAATTTAGTTTTTGTTTGTAGTCTAAAGCAATTGCCCATTTGATCAAAGGTAAGCACGGCTCTGTATAAGTGGGTTTATATTTACGTCTATTTTTTTTTTTTTTTTTTGCAGAAACGTACTTTATGTCACTTAATAAAAGTTGGATTTAATGATGTGAAGTTATTTTCTCTGTCCTTACATAATGCTACATATAGCGTAGGAATGTAGTCTGCCTAGAAATGTTAAATATTCGTGTACACAGCCCTGAGCAGACGACACTCACCAAATGGCATGTGTAGCTAGGGCTGGGACTTATATCCGGGATCCGTTATCTGATTCGGGATCCGATCCGATCCGCTCCGAAAAAATGGATATCCGGGGTGTCCGGATCCGGATCCGGATAGTGATTTCACGGATCCGGCCGGATCCGGATCCGAATCCGGATAGTGAAAATTTCAGTCCGGATATCCGGATCCGGATCCGGATCCAGACCCACTAAATATTTAAAAATATTTAAAATATAATTATATTTATATAGGTATATTATTTATTTTTATTAAATATAACTAATATTTAATTTTGTTAATAAATTCTATTATTTTAATTTAACCTTTTGAAAATAATAATTTTAATAAAATAAATAAATACTGAATTTTGAATTTATTTATTTATTTAAAAAAATAAAAATAAATCGGATCCGGATATCCGCGGGTATCCGAGTTTTAATCTGGATATCCGGATGACCCGAATCCGAATCCGGATAGTAATTTTACGGATCCGTCGAATCCGGATCCGGATATTCTGAAATACCCCGGATATTCGATCCGTTCCACCCGGATATCGTACAATTTTCTTTGGTCTAATTTTTTCTTTTGGCACCTGAATAAAACACATCCATGCGTACGCTACAATTTTTTAATGTACGAAAATATCTACTAGAATTCCATCTACAACCTCATAAGTTTTCGTCATTTTTCTTTATCAGATATAAACTATATTGGAATATCTGTAAGCATCTCATACCGAGATATTGACTGTAAGTTTATAATGAACGATAAGACTGAATCATTTCATTAAAGAAAATATGTGACTTCTTCTAATCCCTTCCTATTATAATATTTAGTCCATTTTACTAGGTATATCCAAGAACCAAATATAATTAAATCAAACTTGACATTCCAAACAAAACACAAAATCCTCTCTCACATATTGTTTTTTATGTTTGGCATTAGAAATGTACTTATCATGCATGTTTGTTATTACCAACTTTGAGACACTTCAAAAATGTCTCGAGTCATAACCTTTATACATTTTTAATTAATTTAATCGTGATTTTATTCTAATTGATTCTGTAAAATGAAAAAGGTAGGTTAGAGGAGTAAAAAGACAAGAAAAGATATAAACGAATAAGTACACAAAGAAAAACAAAAGAATATTATGTCTTACAAAAATTATAATTTCGTAAAACTTTGTAATATGTGCATATTGTTATGCTGAGTCAATTAAGTATATGATAACTTCACAAAATCAATAGTTAGTTGATCTGATTTTACAATTCATTTCTATATTTTTTTGTAGGAGTGTAATTTTTATCTAACATCTTACGTCGTTATGTAAAATACTATTGTTCTATTTATATGGATGTCTAAACCATAAATACTACCCTAACTATATCTCCATAAACATGTTATTTAATAAAATAACGTCTCGTAATAATTAAATAAGACAAACAATAAGAGAATCAAGTTTTTTTTCATTGGTAAAACATTTGTGAGTCATGTGAAGCGCCAAACATGAAAAATACTTTTTTTTTTTTGCCAAATAACATGAAAAATACATGACATGAGAAGTACAGTAGCAATGCCAAACATAACCGACATTACGGGGAAGAGTTTTGTGTTTTGTTTAGAGCGTAAGATTTGTTTTAGAACTATCTCCAAAAAGAATCTCTATAATTTTAAATATAAAATTTAGTTTTCCAAAATAATAATTCAAAATCTCAAATTTGAAGTTTTTCTCTTTTTATTTGTATTTTGGTTCTTACAGTTAATTAAACATTACATTTAATCCTTCAATTTGTTAAATCTCATAAATATTTGTAATTGACTTTTATAAATTCAAGTTTTAACATAAATTAGAAAAAAGATTTATAATATTTGAACATTAGAATTTTGTGTAACCAAAAATAGAGCATTACAAAAATAATTTTATGGGATAATTTTTATTTTCTTGTAATTTAAAATTTAATTATCTATTTTGATTATAATTTATATTAATTAATATTTTTGTAATATTTTTATATATTTCTAGTTATTTATTAATTTTAATGGATTTACACTAAATATGACAAATATAAAGATCATAGTATAAAATAATTAATAATTTTGAAGTTAAATTTGAAGTTTTTCTTATGGAGAAGAATATTTTGAAATTTTAAATATAGCGGTTTAAAAAATTTCAAAATAGAATTTTTTTTTGGAGATGGCTTAGAGTATTTGTTTCTTATGAGGTTTTGTATTTTGTTTGGAAGTGAAGTTTGCATAAGTGTTTTTTCAAAAAAAAAATTGCTATGTATTTGTTTCCTATAGATGATCAGTTTAATGGAAGAAGAGGTTACTATAGATACTAGAAAGGAATTAATATTGTCCAATAAACGAAGTGTCGTCAATTTACTGAAAAGAATATGAAAATATATTAAAATAATCTAAATAAAATTCTATAAGAGAATATAGTTATATAAAGTGAGCAAAGAAGCATTTGAAAAAGATAAAATGATTAAGTACACAATAACAATATATGTTACTTTCATGTGTTTTATAATCTATTTTAATTTTTTTATATTTAATATGACACCATCGATATAAATATTGTATAGCTTTATATCATATCACCTAGTTGACAAAAAAATGTTTATATTCTATTAGTTTAGTCGACCAGAACATATGTCTGTATTCGATAATAATAAGACGCGCAATGCCAAACATAAGAACCCAATGAGAATATAGTTGTTAGAAGCCACTAAACCAAAAAAAAAAATTTAAAATATATTTGATCAAAAGTGTTTTGGCGTGAACTTTGAACAAGCCTAGAGAACATAGTACGATGGTTTCTGAATATGTAAAGCACAAATAAAGTCGAAGAACAAGTTTGGAAGATACTGAGAAGGGAATTCAGAGGATTTTTAAACCAGAGAGTTAGAATATTCTCAGTGGAAAAGATGGTATAAGGGTATAATTAACCCTGGTTTTTCAGTCGTGGTTATTAATTCATGATTTGGTAATTATTTTTTTAATATTTTTATTAAAAGATGACATTTATAGCATGTTTATTAATGTTTCTTAGATTAGATTTCTTAGCTTAATATAAGATACGGTCTCTTAACTTTTAAGGGCATCTCCAACCCTACTCTATTTTCTACTCCAAACATCACTTAAGAATAAAATTCTCTCTAACCCCACTCCATTTTCAATCCCAAAATGAAGTAATGGTTAGGGTTATTCCATTTATAGAGTAAACTTACACATTACTCCATTTTAGAGTTGAACTTTTTTTTTATTTATGTAATACCTTTAATTCTCAAATATTTTTATTTCTTACTAAAATAATACTTTTTAAAAATACAATAACATAAAAACAGGATATTTTGTTATTTAATAGTTTAACACAAAAATACATAGCATAATTAAAAACATAAATAATATTAAATAAAACAACATAAAATAAGAGATTTAAACAAATCGCTTTCGGATCCGTTAAGACCGGTGAAGTATTGTCCAAAACTCATTTTTCATTACGAAATTTATTAGTTGATCATTTATGGGAAAAATATTCTAATGCTCATTATTGATCAACTTATATTGTGTTTTATTTTATTTTATTTTTCTGATTTCTTGTACTTTTTAATAATAATGTTTAATTTTTAAATAAATTATATTTTAAGGTATTTTTATAAACATAAAATAATTGGGGTTAATTGGTAAACTTTTATAACTATAAAGTATTATTAACAATTATTATTAATTATTTTTGGAGTAAAAAATGGAGTAATACATTGGAGTAAAACCTTACTCCATTATGGAGTTGCACCATTTTGAAGTAAAATATGGAGTAATACATTGGAGATGCTTTAACTTAAAAAACTAAGAAATATCTTTTAAATAAGAGATATAAGAAACGTTTCTTTG